AAAATAAAAGTTTTTGTTTACATAATATATGTGTGTGTACTGTGTATATTTATTATGTATATATAAATACAGACACATGCATGTATACATTTCAGAAAAAATGTTGTTTATATAATAAATATATTTATTTATAATATAAATTATATGAATATAAATATAGACATGTAAATATTTTCAAAATACTGTGTGTGTATTTATATATACATAATAAATATACACAGAACACACACATATATTATGTAAACAAAAACTTATTTCGGATGCGATTAATCATGATTAATCGTTTGACAGCACTAGTTTTGAGTAAATTTCTTTTTTTTGTTGTTGTTGTTGTATATGTACAGTACTGCTTCCGCTGATTAAGTTACTTATTACAGGGCGAGGTGTTATGATGAACATGACTAGAAGCCAAATTTCCAGTTTGTGTTCTCTCTTTCTACACTAACATCTACTCCCCAGTACTATATCAGTTACTATAGCAAATAATGTAGATAAGCTGGATATTGATATGACGACGCTAATAAACAGAACTTTTTACATTACTTTCAATTCTCATTTGTATTTGGAATTGGCTGCAGTGTTAAAACCTTGAAGTTCAAAGTTTTGCCAAAAGCACTTGTTGACGCACCGCTGTGGCGAGTAGGAAGTGGTAGGGCAGAAACTGCATTCTTAAGACGTCATTGAACTTCTTCACACAGTGGAGCTCCACACCTTTAGAGTCATAGATATAGAGCCATCTCTTCTGTGCCACAGCAAACATGGCCTCTGTATGAAGCCACCTGGAGGTAGAACGAAGAGCGCAGAGAGTGAGCTTTAAATAAGACCACAATGAGACAATTACTCATTACTAAAGCACAGGGGTGAAGGATAGGAAGGTATTGTGAAAAAAACCCTAAATAAAGTATTTGAAACTCTTTGACAAAAAAAAACTAGACTGACTCTCAGCTGGACCGTCATATAAAACATTTTTCTCAAGGAATTCTACAACCACAGCCTGTTCTGCCTGGCTTGGCATTTTTGTTATGCAGCTATGCATTTAAGGTTTAAGTTGCAATATTGATTGATACCAATACATCACGATATACACTCAATTTGATATTCTTTCAGTTCATGAGTTTGCAATTTGATCCAACTGATCTTGATTCGATTTGATATCACTTAATTTGGATATGTATCAGGCACAGATCATGTACATTTTTCTCCGTAAAAATGTGAACTTGATAGGGGAATCTGTCAGTACACTACTATAATATCAAAGGTTAAAATTAACTACTTGCACACAAACATTTAAATTGCACAAAATAGCAATAGCAGTGTTTCTACTCTAATTAGGGTTGCAAAAAGGTGGAAAATTTCCAGTAAATTTTGGAAACATTCCAGAAATTTTGGAAACTTTCCAGGATTTTTTTTTTAAATATTCCAGGGATTTTTGGAAATTTTCCACCCCTTTGCAACCCTAACTCCAAATCTTTTTTTTTCTTTTTTTTTTTTAAAATATAAACATTTTAACGGTGGCTGTCATTAAAACTTGTTCTTCTGGATGTAATCAAAATATACATTAAATACTCAAGAACAAGTATAGTAAAAATATAATGAGTATTCAATAATCCAATAAAACGTTTCAATAATGAAATAAAACCTGTGTTGTCTGCAGTGTTGTCTTTGGTGTAGTGGGAGTGCAGGTAAACGATACAATGGGATTTTTCAGCACAAATTGCAAAGCAAAGCTGTCTGCTGACATTGATGTTTGTTTTGGTACAAGATCTTGCACATTTGAGTTGTAATTTTTGGTCAGAATGTGTCCAGTTGTGACTTACACCAGTTGTTAAGTGTGTTGTCTAGTGGACTGACTCCATTAGATTTGTGATTAGTCATTAGGTTTGTGCTCCTCAAAGACTAGCATCTGCTCCAATCACTGGAAACAGTATTTAAGTGCACTGAGACCAGTCTAAGAATGTTTCAGTTAGCTGTTAAGTGTATCCCAAGCTTAAGTGAATAACGCGTTTATTTCTGAATGACTTTTCTTAGGCAAATGCAACGCTGCGTGACATTCTGTACAAACTGTTTCACTGACGTCTTTCCACAGTTAAACACAGATTGAGTGATTACATGAGACATGATGCATTTCAGTAAGTTGTGCTGTATCTTTTAACATACATTCTCATGTTAATTTTATGCTAAAACGTCTGTCACGGTGCAGAATTAAACACAATTTCATAATAAAACTGACCGAATTTGAAAGCTAGGACTTTGTTCCAGTGATAATGGCTGCTACAACATGTGAAGAATGTGTGCCAGAAAATCAAAAGATATGTCTTAATGAATGTGCACTCACTTGACATCATTCACTGTTTCCATGACATTCATCTCACACATGAGGTCTTTGGTTTGCCAGTCGATGCAGGCCACATGACCTTTCTTTCCACCCACTAGTAGATGCCTGTTGCAGACAAATAAATTTTTATGGATCTGTAATTTTTTAATAAATGAAATTCATGCAATGATTTCAATAAACCTTTCCCTATAATGAGCATATAATGAGTTTTCAATGTCTGGATTAAGATGCCCAAGGTATCCTTATGTAAATGTCAGGACATGTTTTTGATTTTAAATTTTTGAACAAGGTTCTTAAATAGTAAAGCACAAGAAAACAGTGATATACAGGATTTAAAAAAAAAGGTCTGTCAATAAAAATATTTTTGTTAACATTTATAATGGTTTCAAAATGCCTTTGTGTAATTACTAGGCTCCAAAATTTATAATACAGAAGGTGTACAGAATGTGTAAAGAGCAGCAGGAATCTACTTCTGTTCACAGTGAGTATAATCCAAACAAAGTGCTAACAAAACCAACTGTCAGGATATTATTACACAAGTGAGACAAACAATATACCAATGTCAGAATGTCTCTTATGTAGCAAAACAATGATGAAAGGGGCACATTGGGTTGAGATGTGTAAATGTGGACTATAAAAAAAAGAATGTTGACAGTATAAATTATCTCTCAATGCAAAAGCATAAATATTCTATTTTAACAAATTCCTAAGCTTTGATGAGGAACATTTGACATAAAAACAATGAGTTGTTATATAACACACCTGTGTTTTTAATTTTATAAATACATAAAGAGAGGTTTTCACCAACAAGAACACTGAAAAATTGACATGTTTAACACGAGATTTCTAAAGGCTCTTATTTGTTACTAACCCTTGAACCTGATAATACATCTATTAATCCATCCATTCTGAACTGAAGTATCAAGCAGAAAGTTCAAATGCTTCTATAATATTAATGTAATGCTATATTTGTAATAGGCCATAACTAAAATTGTCTGTTTTAATAAATAAATAATTCTTTGGCACATACCGTCCAGTTCTGCTGTAGTCAAGCCTATATGGGCCAAACTGGGAAAGATGCAAGCTGAAGTACTGTAGGGAGAGAGAAAGAAAAAAAACTGAGTGGAACATGCAAAATACAATTAATCACACACAGACTCCTTCAGGACATAAAAACACGTATCATATCATTTTTGACAGATGTGTAGTAACAAGCAGAAACAGTACATTTTCTGAATATTCTAAAAAAAAGTAATACTTTAACTTTGTTACATATCTCTAGACTCCTGCAGTGCTTTTACAAGAGGGAAAAAACACTGCTGTGTACGGCTCAGTGATCCACATTATAGTCCAAAAACAGAAGAGTAGTTACCTGGACAACAAATAATGCAACACATTTTCCACTGATAAATCTAAGGAGGAGACTGTCCATGTAAGCCTTTCTCTGTGCTTTTTTTAATGACCTAGATGACTGAATTCTTATACTGTACACAAAATCTATGTGGCAAGGCCCATGGTTTCAGCTAAAAATCATATTTACTGTTATACTAAAGAAAAAAAGTCACCTACATCTTGGATGCCCTGAAAGCACACAATAATCATCTTAAAATTAGATAGAGGCACACACAAAAAAATGTCTGATTGACTGGTCAAAAACATTAATGCTAATATTAATCCCAAAGCAACAATCAGGGTTTCTGCAGGATTTTTAAGCTCAAATTTAAGACCTGCATAAAATTAATACCATATGAGCGGGGTAGGGCAATGTCTATAGTACCATATTAAACTGTAAAATTACTGTAAAAAGCATATTTTACAGTTCAAATACAAGTTTTCACAAAAACAAAGTTTTATAAAATGATAAACTTTATATTTCAGCGTTTAAACCATTTTTAAGACAATGGATGAGTCAAAACTATTAATTACTATATTAATTTAAACAATTATTAACAATACATTATTATATCAATTAAATAACAAATTAGGGGTGTGCGATATTGACAAAAAATGATATCTCGATAATTTACAGGGACTTTATCGATAATTAGACAATATTTTGCTGAATGTGTTATTGTGCTGATCTCTAATTGTGCTGACAGCTCCTGAAGTTTTTTTATATTCTTCATATTCTGTGGTCAGTTCACAGCAGTGATAGAAACTAATCATTTCAATTAAAATTGAAATGTCTTTCCGTTCCCAAATTTAAGACCTCTTGAAATCATAATGAAGACTTTCTTGTTCAATTTAAGACTTTTTAAGGCCTTAAATTTGATTCAACTAAATTTAAGACTTTAAGACGGAAAACCCTGAACAATGAAATCCTCCATCTGTGAAATTTATTAGCCCCTTTCACACATTAAACCCAAAAAATTAGCATAAATTTACCAGTCTGACTTTTCTGGTAAATACACCATATACGTATACTGTAAACACAAGCAACAGCATACCATCTTTTTACCAGTTCCAGACCATTATACATCAGCATCAAAACACTGTGATGAAACTCTGTGATGTTAATCATCGGAAATTAAGCTGCACCATTTTCTTCATCCGCCTGGATGAGAAGTGCTTTACTTTCATCTACTGCCCAATTTGACAATTTTTGACATCTGAGTGACAGCCGTAAAGGGCTGATCACACAGAACTTGTGTTATTCTCTTAATAACACAAGACATGATACAATAGTATCACATGCCTTGCTCAAACATAGCAATATGCTGTTTATTTACTGGTAATGCGACAACTTCTAATAATTGAAATTTGTCAGAACCGATTCTTTTGAAAAAGCTCCGTTTATGATCTCTTAATGGAGTGAAAGGGGATATTGATACCACATACTTGGTTAATTTCAACATATTGATTTTCAAGCTCTACAAAATCCAGTAAGGCTAATAATACACAGGAGTGTTCAAAACAAATCATTGACCCAGATCACCTTTGACCCAGAAGTGATGTCAACTGCATCTGCTATGTCATCTTGAGAGATGGTGTTTGTGTCTTCATCCTCATCTCCTTCCAGGAAGCTGATGACAGACAAACAGTTATGTGTGTACTTATTTTGTGTGTGTATTTACTAATCAAGATGAATACAATAAGAATAGTTTAACACACAAGCAGTAGTTTTACAAAATGTCCAAGCTCACGACCTTTTCTATGCAATACATGAATGTGCAAGGCTTCTGGGGAGAGAGTCCAGAAATCAGGGTTAACTTTACGTCACATAAACCCCAAACTCTTGGTTGATTAACCCGTCTATTTTATTAAAATATAAACATTCTGTACTTGAAAAGATAATACGGCTGTAGTTTATTTATTTTTAGCCATTTTGCCGTTTCTTTATTATAAAAATACATTTTCTAGAAAATATCCTACTGAAAAGATAAATAAATAAACAAAATGCATGCGCTGGATACTTCTGAAGTAAACTTAACCCTGGGACATAATGTTCAGAGAATAAGTTGCTATGACTACTTATAGGGGTGTAACTGTACACGTATTTGCAACGAAAACTTTGGTTCAGTGTACAGGTGTACCAAGCGAACGCAGCATTGTTTTAACCACTACATCTGCAGAACTTCTTTATGTGTGGAACATATTTAGAAACACTGTTTGTAAAGGCCCGTTCACACCAAGGACGATAACTATAAAGATAACGATAAAGATACAGTTCTAAAAATCGTTCTCAATATTAAAGAATAGCAGAGTCCACACCACAACTATAACGATAAAGACAAAGACAAACGATATCGTTGGAATCACTTTCAAAACGATTTTTTTCCCAGCTGATGAACGATAAAAAAAATCGACAGCCAATCAGAATCCATCCTGCTGTAACGAGTTCAAGAATTTAAAGCGGCAGACGCATGTGCGCCTAGAATAAACGGATGATATCGTTCGCTGGTGTGGACGCTAATATCGTTATCTTTATAGTTATCGTTCTTGGTGTGACATATCAATATATTTTCAAACAAGATATAGGAGATATATTGGCTAATATTTTTTGTTTGGCCAATGTTACTTTGACGGTGACGAGAACACCAGCACCTGAGTGCACGAGCTCCCTGTCTTCATTAGTTTACTGTCTCTGTTAAACAGTTCTGACTAATAAATTATTACGCAGATCTTTTAAACAAAGTCAAGGTATACAAAGAAGCGTGCATTTGTTGACTGCATAAAAATGAGTGCGCGTGAGCGTTCCTCTTTTTGAATTGAACCCTGACAGGGGAGTTAACGAAACTGTTTCAATTTTTCAATAAAACTTTTCACAGACTTTTATAAATGTGTTTTTGCTATCTTTATATTAAATAGTGTGACCCTGCGGTCCAAGACATCAGCATCACCAATCAAAAAATCCATATCGGCCGACCACTACTTGAAATATAAAGTCACATGGACTACTTTTCTTGTGCTTCTCTTAAGTCACTAGCTATGTTTCCATCCACCTATTTTATGCGCATTTTGGATCATCGCATAAAAAACGCTGGAGGAAAACACCAAGATGCGCATGAATTCTAAAAATGCACATAAAAAACGTATGCGCTCAACTGAGTAGGATAAACTTTTTATCCGATAAGAAAAAATATGCATGAACTACGATGGAAACACATTTACCAAATAAATTCCTCCATGCGCATTGAAAAAGTCATGGACTTTGCGCTATGAGACGGAATAACTTGACTAGCAGCAGACCTATCTCGTTCACAGCATCTATATGTTGTTTTGGTCGTTCTGAAATGCCTGAGCAAAGTCTGTCATGAAAGTATTTCTGTATAATTACTGTCTTACATGACTGCGTTCCCAAACAGCAGGTATCCACCTCTAAAAGCAATGACCGCATTTATTGTGTTACGTCTGCTCTCTCTGAAGCGCAAGTAATTTATTACATATGAAAATTAGGGATGCACCGAAATGAAAATTCTTGGCCGAAGCCAAACAAAATGAAACACTGGGCCCTGGTAAAACACATTTTTCCCCCATGTAGGCCTTTTTGGCCATTTTTTTTCACCATTGCATAAATTAAATAGCCAAAATGTTCTTTTTACCGTTTTGTCCTGCTTTTCAAATAAAAAAAATCAATTACAATTTAAAAATATTTACTTAACGTTGAACATTTTTTTAACATGTATGGCAGACATTATACCAACAAAGCACAATTTAACTTAAAATTAATAAGTGCATATAGAACAGCCACAGGCTCAGCACCCGCCTACTTCTACTCACTACTACGAATCTACATCCCCTCCAGAAGTCTGAGATCCGCTAGTGAGCGACGCCTCGTGGTACCATCACAGAGAGGCTCAAAATCACTTTCCAGAACATTCTCGTTCACCATTCCTGGCTGGTGGAACGATCTTCCCACCCCTATCCGGAATGCTGAACCCCTGACCATTTTCAAGCGACAGCTGAAAACTCATCTCTTTCGAAGCTACTTGACTTCATCATCATAAAATAAAAAAAAATAAAAAAAATAAAAATTCTATCTCTTTATCTATTCCTTCTCTTTCTAGCGTGTACTTATTTGAACAATGTCTAAAAACTTGGTATTACAAGCACTTCCTGTGTCTGTTTGCCTCTTTAAGAAGAATCGCTTTATGTATCCCCCAATTGTAAGTCGCTTTGGATAAAAGCGTCGGCAAAATGACTAAATGT